CCCTTTCAGAGCAGAGGACCTTGGTAGTGTGGCCTCCAAGGCACCATTGACAAGGACATGACCTTCCTCTAAAGTGGAGAGTAATATGCACCTTTGTGTTAGATTCAAAGATGCACCTGATTCTCAGGGAGGTGCAAGACACCAACCCAGGGCCTAGAGAGGCAGGGGCAGTCTTGGGTTTTTGTTGGTCAAAATGCAGAAATGTTATGTGCTTAGATGGTCAAGGGATTGGGTACATGACCCTATGACTTCTCTAAGGGGAAAAGAGTTCTTGTCCCTGTCAGGCTTATTCAGAAACCATAGAAAAAGCCACATTCTCCCCACTAAGACAGAAAAATAAAATACTTTCCTGGGAAGACCTATAATTTTCATGTCTGAATGATGTGTGCCCATATGGCCCTGTGGGGACTTGGTGCCCCCTGCATTCCCTGTCCACTAGCATTTTATTTAGTTATTTGTTTACTATAGGATATGCACTTACCAGAGAGAGAGAAAATGAGAAAGCATCCCCTTCTTCCCCACCACCAACCCCAGCAGGGATGGCATACTGCAGTGCCTTCTCCTCATTCTCCTCTTGGCATATTGGGCACACGCACCTGGTATGTTTTTCAAGCCACCAGGTCTAGGACTCAAACTGTAGTTGACCAAATGGGATTCAGCTGCCTTAGCCATCATGGTACTAACTGGCCCCACCCCTGGCATTTCCGTCAGTCCTGTGCTCACACTGACCATGTCCTGCCAGGAGTGGAAGACTGCATTTTAGAGCCTCTCACTGGCACCTGGGAGGTGGGCTGGGCCCTGTCTGAGCCTCTGGTTTTGAAGGAAGAACCGCTTCTTCCTGGATCCTACCTCCAGCTCCTCATGGCGGCAAAGAAGCAACCATGTGAATTGTCTGTGACTCAGTAATGAGTTTGTCCCATGGCCAGCTGCTCCTAAGTCACCTGTGGACTCTGGGCAGAGCCCCTCCCCTGCCTGTCAGAATTTCTTTTTCAATCCTTTATTCCCTAAATACCAATTTCCCAATTTATCAAATTTACCAATTTCCCAAGTCCCTCTGGTATACCTGAAGTTTGGTGGCATTCCTTGAAATGTAAGGTCCGGTCTCTCCCTCTGGGAACCGAACATCTGATGTATATGTGTGTAGGGGCACTGAAAGGGCAGGATTATTAATATGCACCACCCCAGAGCTTGTTAGAAATGCAGACTCTCAGGCTCCTCCCCCAGCCTACCAAGTCGGAATCTACACCCTCACATTCCTAGGTGATGTGTACACATTACAGTTAAAAGAAACACTGCCCTGGAACACTTGTTTAATAACTACTTAACTGATGGGTTAACCTTCGTCTCTACTCTGTAAAATGGGAGAAGACTGTTATGCCCATTTTATGGATGAAGAAACTGAGGCCTGTCCAAGGCCAACTAACAGAAATATATACGTGGCAAAATGAATGTCTCCAAAGCTTATGTCTTGCCTATAACACAGGAGCCCACCAGAGGCAATGGGAAGCAGATTACTGTTACCTCCTACATTAGTTCATGCAAATAAGGATTTTATCTCCTCTAGATCTCTTTCAGCCCTGGGTTAAGAAGGAGCTACAGCCCCTGAACTTCTTCCCTCTTGCCCAGGTCTGTTTTCCAGGGGCAGTGATGTTGGTGGGTCAGTTATCAAAAAATTTGCCTTTCTAGTTTAACCTAATGTCAGTCATCTTGGTCCAAATGGAGGCCAGTCCTTCTGCTACCACATTCCTCAGGCCCTCCTTTGGCCTCAACCAAACATGTCAGATCAGGGGAAGGCCCTGTGGGAAGCAGTGTTCCTGGCCTA